GCTGTGAAAACCGCTGCAGTGCCTAGGCTTCAGTGCTTTCTTCTGTCTTTTACAGACCTCCCGCCGCAGGGGCCCCTTGAGCTCAAAGCTACCGTGCACAGCAGAGAAAAGAGTAGACTTACAGCCATATCACTGCGCGTCTCCGCTTCGTTCTGTCAGTTGGCACCGGAGCGTGGTTTGGTCAGGGCTTTGGGAAAACCCGTGTGAGCCCTGTTAAGTCACAGCCGTTGCAAGCTTGCAGCTGTTACAGCCGTGTGCGTGAGACGAACCTTTGCCTGGAGACCTTGAAGGCAGAGAGAGCAGATGGAGACGGGACAGCCCCCAACGGACCCCGGAGGCTTTGTCTATCGAGATAGAGACCCGCCTCCAGGATGGAATGGAGAAAAGCCAGAAGCCACCTTGAAGCCCTACCTCAAGGACCTTCAGCTTTGGGAGGCCGTGACGGATCTCCCTCCGGCCAAGCGCGGCCCGAAACTCGTGCGGGCCCTCACAGGACCAGCGCGAGAGGCGGTTCGCTTCCTTGAGGTTCCTGAGCTGATCAAGGAGGATGGCGTGAAGACCGTGATCAAGTCGCTCACCTCTGCCTTCGAGCCCTACCAGGAGACAGCCTTGCCAAGGGCCATGGAGACGGCTCTGTACGGGCATGCCCGGGCACACAAGGAGCGATCCCGCAGTACCTGCTTCGCTTCAGCGCGGCGCAGAGAGCTCTACGAGATGAAGGCGTGGATCTTCCTTCGAAGGCCAAGGGCTACCTACTTTACCGGCAGTCCAATCTGGACAAGGAGCTGGACGCACGGCTCCTGACCTGGCTGGCTGGCGACTACTCCGAGGACGTGGTCGTGGCCAACCTCCGAAGACTGGACCGAGCGATACAGGAAGGAAGCCGAAAGAACAATGCCTACTACGAGGGCCTGGAGGAAGACGATGCCGGCGATGCAGAGGGCGAATGGCAGGAGCACGAGGCATACTACGAGGACTATGGCAACGCGATTGACGACGACGAGGCCCTGGAAGAGACCTACTACCAGGACCCGGCACCAGACGAGGCGTTCCAGGATGTGGTCGAAGAGGACGAGCTCCTGGAAGTTCTGGCCTCCTACCAGGACGTGCGCGACTCACTGCGCATGGCCCGGAACGGTCGGGGCTACTACCCGAAAGGATCCAAGGGCTCTTTCGGCCCACTCCCAAGCGGCAAGGGGAAGCAGAAAGGAACGACCAGGCCCGACCGAGCTCTTACTCTCCAAGAGATAAAGCTGAGGACAAGGTGCCGGACATGCGGACAGGTCGGCCACTGGTCTCGTGAGTGCCGAGCTTCTGCTGCACAGCCGTCTTCGTCGTCAGGTGCGTCGCGCACAAGCTTCTTTTGGTCCTCGGGGCAAAGCTCCTCAGCAGCCACGTTCTTTGCAGAAGGCAAAGCCGAGCCCCAGGGCACAGGACAGCACGACAAGGAGCCCGAAGACGCAGCCAATGCAAAAGACAGTTCGTTGCCGTTCATAGGTGTCGCGACCCAAAGCTTCCAGGGGATAGTTGACACCGCAGCACAGGAAGGGCTTGTTGGCAAACCAGCTCTTTTGCGTCTTCTTGAAGAACTTCGAAAGCAAGGACTCCGAGGGTACTGGAACGGGAAAACTTCCGAAGCACGCGGCATAGGCGGCCGCGCCACCTCACTAGGAACAGTTGAAGTACCTGTCGGTTTCGGCGGGATTGCGGGCATACTCGAGCTCACTGTAGTTGCTGAAGATGTTCCCCTGTTGGTCCCGGTCAATCTCCTGAAAGCCCTCGGTGCTGTTATCGACTTAGACGAGGGATTGCTTCACCTACGTAAGGTCAACACGGTTTGCGACATGAGCTTCCTGTCGTCGGGTCACCCGGTCATTAGCATCATTGACTTCGGCAAGGGATGGCATCTTCCAGAAGTTTGTCGTGAGTTTAGGTCAGAGCAGCTGTTTCGCACCGAGCCGCAGAAGCAAGTGAAGTTCACCGATCGCAGCTTTGGCTCTTCAGCTCTTTGGGCAGCAGCTTCTGGAGGAGGCAGCAACGCTCATGCTAACCAACCGCGCCCTCGGAGTGCAGCGTTCCCCTGCTCGACAAGGACAATGGCAGCTCGTCGGCCCGGCCCCGGGGGCCAAGGCCCGACGAAACTGGCGCGTCGTTTTGGACAAGCTCTACTGTGTGCTGCAATGGGCACGGTGGCAGGAGCTTGTGTCAACTTGGCTGCCGCTCCCAGAGCTCGGACAACGGCAGTCGCAGCCGCTCCCCTCGGGGTCAACCTCAAGTACGACGACGAGCTCTACGAGACTTTCGCCCACGGACAAAGGGGCGGCGTACAAGCGCTACTTGCAGGAGCGCAAGCCGGAGCAGCTCTCAGCAGTCAAAGGCGTGCCGACAGTTTCCGTGGAGAAGTGCCAGCACCCGGCCCAGTGCCTGAAGGGCGGCGGCAATGGGCACATGAACTGGGTGCACTGTGCCCAGTGCAGATGCCGCTGGAAGTTGTCGCCGAGGACCGCGGCGGTGTTCACCGGGCGGCCGTTGGAGCAGGCCGAGGAGATTGTCGAGAACCCCAAGCTGGCCACCCGCGTTCAGGAGATGGCGCGGGACGCCCTCGAGAAGGAGCACCTGGACCAGCAAGACCAGCTGCTGCAGATCATCGCGCACCAGCGGGAGAAGATCGAGGAGACCCAGGCACAGCTGGACATGCAGAACGGCCACTTCCTGGAGTACGACAGGGCGTTGGAGACGGTAGCCTTCCTGGAGCACCACCACAAAACACATGGACGTTGCGATGAGGACTCAGACTGCGGCTGTGCTGGCCGAGTTCAGGAGACAAAAGACCTTAGAGGAGGAAACCCGGCAACGAGCCAACTTCTTCCCCACCAGCGAGACCAAGGAGCAGTGGGAGCAGACGGTGACCAACCTGAGGCACTCCATTCAGAACCTCGCCCAGTTCCACTCTGAGCTCCTGGCAAGGCGCCAGGGCGTGGCGAGGCAGGTGATGCAGCGATGAGCGTCGACCAGGACCCAATGCATGGCAGGAGCACCGAGAAAGGCGACCGCACACTACACAAGGCGACCCCGACGGTGCTCAGAAGGTGGCTGGTGAAACCGAACGCATTCCTGGAGGACTCTGTTGTTGTCCGGGAGCGCGGCTTCCTTGTTCGGCGGGACCGCCACGACATGAAGGACGAGCGCGGTGACCACGGCGAGGTGTACGTTGTCCTCAAGGAGCCCGAGCTCTACGTGAACGCCGAGTTCTCTGAGGACGGGCCCAAGGAGGCGCAGGACGTGGTCATCGACGGCATCCAGGCCTTCCTCGCGGACAACGACGGCCAGGACGAGCTGTGCTTGAAGCCGGTCCCGGGAAACGACCAGGAGTGCTGGCGTCGCTTTGAGGAGGCGAGGCCTGAGCTGCTCACGATCGAGCCCGAGGACAGCCGTGAGTCACACGAGATGGCATGCAGGTTGGCGCGGGCTCAGTGGAGGAAGGGAAAGGCTTTCGTTTTCCACGCGGGCAATGGTTCCCAAGTGCTACGCTACGGAGCCACCAGAGAACTTCGGGAGATGTGTGGCTCGACCTCAGCGTGCTACATGCTACAGCGGAAGAAGGGCATCATTGCGAACGTTGTGGACCAGGCCAAGTACCACATGGCAAAGGACGCGGGCAGCGTCAACTACAAGGCCAAGCCGATGCCCGAGTTCGTTGCGATGCCCGCCGAAATTCAGAACCCGGAGCAGAGCGAGGAGACAGGCAGGCATCCTGGAAGAGGTCTTCGGCCCGGTTGCGCGAGTTCCTTCGAAGACCGAGAAAGAGGCGATTGACCGCCTCCACAGGACCCTAGGACACCCTTCCGGCCGAGACCTGGCCAGAGCGCTCGCTATCAGCAGGGCACCCCCTCACTTGGTGAAGTTTGCCAAGGAGGACTACAAGTGTGCAAGTTGCGAAGCGCATCGAGCGCCCAAGTGGAACAGGCCGACTACAGTCCCCAGGTCCTATGCGCCGAACGTTGTTGTCGGCATCGACTTGATGCAGATACCAAATCACGATGGAACACAGGCACTTTGGATGCTGAACATGGTGTGCGTGGGAACAAGTTTTCAGCTTGTCGAGCGAGTACGCAGCAAAGAGCCCAAGGAGGTTTGGGCGGCATTCGCCCGATCATGGGGACGACTTCTTGGTTGGCCTTCTGTTCTTTGGTTAGACCAAGGAACAGAATTTTTGTCCGAGTTTCGCGACAAGGCGTCCCAGCTTGGAATGATTATCCACCAGATAGGCGCGCGCGCCCCGCAGCAAAACGGGCGCACCGAAAGACATGGAGCTCTCTTTAAGCAGCTCTTCGAAAAGGCCAGGTGGCATGCGCCACCGATGGACCACAGTGACTGGGTGCAGCTTCTTAGAGAAGTCGAGGCTTCTAAAAACAGACTGTTCAACAGGTCCGGCTTCGCACCCATCCAAAGGATGTTCGGACACACGCCCCGAACCAATGGGGAGCTGATGTCCGATGACCCCGTGGAGCCCGCACTCCTTGACTACGGCGAGGACCTTGGGAAGCTTCTGACGGCACGGCGGGCGGCACAGAAGGCCTTTGCTGAGGTGAACACGTCCACTGCACTGAAGGTCGCTCTTCGAAGCAAAGGGCGCACTCAACGAACCTTTCAGCCTGGAGAGGTTGTCTTCGTGTGGCGTTCGTAGAAGACGCAGCATCCTGAAGCCAGGCTGGGTGGGTCCGGCCATAGTGTTACTACCTGAAGGTCCCAATGCCTACGTGAACGTGCAAGGTCGGATTTGGAAAGTTTCGAACGAGCACCTTCGTTTGGGCACATCGGAAACAGTAAGGGGAATTGAGGCGGTTCACGAGGTCTTCCATGATCTTAAGCATCGCTTCGAGATGGCCAAGGCGAAGGTGATCGAGGACCATACCGGCGACCCGATCCCCGAGGACGCCATGCAGGTTCGCGAGCTCAACGTGGATGAAGAAGGAGAACGGCGGGGTGTGCCAAGGCCACGCCTGGAGCCAGTGCCGGTCCCTCTTATACCGGTAGACGCGCCTGGGGAAACGCCGCAGCAAGAAGTACCTGAACCTCCTGTACTACTACCTCCTGTCAACAACAACGAAGGCCAGGCGACGGACGCAGGCCAGAGGCCGAGGCAGGTCACGCCCTCTTCTGAGCCCGAGCGTGAAGTCGCGCCACAGACCTCAGACGGCGTGCCCGAGAACAACGGCGACAGACCACAGGCACCACAACCTCCTTCAAGCTCGACTGCGGATCCCTTTTCGCAGCGACTCAGGGCGGCGATGGAATCGGCATATCGGAATGATGTGCTGGACGATGCGCTACCGAAACGGCGGGCAAGAGTGACTTCTGGTGAAGGTGCAGGGCCTGTTCGAGACAAGGAGGACCAGACCGTGAGCCCGTACTTTGCTCAGGACGACTACATGGGCGACGACGGTCTGGACGAACTGGCTGCTAAGTGGAGAAAGGAGGCGGCACCGAAACCATGCCGCGATCACTGGGAGCTACTCCTCGGAGCTGGGACACTGCGACGACACCACGTGAAGTGGAGGACACATCCCTTCTCGCCATGGGAAGGAGCACGCATGCCCGTGGACATTCGAGATCGCGGCTCCACCAGGACAGTTGTTCGCTGTTACAAGTCCGGCGATCAAGATGAGGAGGAAGATGACTGGAAGGCGACCAGGCCTTCTAGGAAGGCAGCTTCTAAGTGGAAGGGCTACACCGACTTCTACCTCACCAAGGCCGCGGTGAAACGACTGGAGGACGTCAACGGCAAGGACCCTGAGCACTACCACATCGAGATCCAGACGGCCGATGTCTTCAAGATGGCCACCGACGAGGTGAACGAAAGGTCCATCAGCCCAGAAGAGTGGGAAGGATGGAAGCAGACCGACGCAGAGGAATGGGCGAAGCTACAGGCCAGCGGCGCGGTGAAGGTGCTCAGCGTAGAGGACTCCAAGAAGGTCATCGATCAGCTGACCCGAGAAGGCCGACAAAACAGGATCCTCAGCTCAAGAATGGTGCGAAGGCACAAGCCCTCAGAACAGCCAGGCGAGCCGTCCAAGCGGAAGAGCAGGCTCGTCATCAGGGGCTTTGAAGATCCGGATGCGCACCGTCTAGATCGCTACTCTCCGACTGTGTCTACGCAAAACTTGAACATCGTACTACAACTTGCAGCAACACGCTGAAACTACCAGGCTCGTGTGGAGACCTGAAACAAGCCTTCACGCAGTCCGATCCACTCCAGAGAAAAGCCGGAAAGATCTACATGTGGCAGCCTTCCTCTGGTTTGCCTGGACTGGAAGCTAACCAGATAATAGAGGTCCTGCATGGAGTCTATGGACTCATTGACGCGCCTCTTCATTGGCGCCGGACCCTGAAAACCTACCTCACCGAGGAGCTGGAGTACAAGCAGAGTCGCCTCGACCCGTGCGTCTTCGTCCTGTACCACAAGGGCAAGCTGAACGGAGTGATCGTCGTGGAGATCGACGACCTGCTTTGCTTTGGCCTCGACGAGCACGAAAGGCGGCTACAAAAGCTTCGGCAAAGGTTCGCTTTCGGGAAATTCCACCGACTTCAGGAAATGCCACAGGGCACGGCCTTTAACGGCCGACGCATCCGACAGCAGTCAGACTACAGCCTGAAGGTCGATATGTGCAAATTCGTCACAGAACGCTTGAGCCAAGTCTTCCTTGAAAAGGGCCGGCGTTCGCAACCGGATGCAGAAGCTTCTCCGAAGGAGAGGCAGGATACCAGGGCCGCCATAGGATCTCTGGCCTGGGCTGCTAAGGAAGGAAGACCAGACGCAGCCTCTGGAGCAAGCATCCTTGCAAGTCGGATGGCTAAGCTCAAGGTCCGGGATGTGGTTGCGCTGAACAAGGTGATCCAGGAAGTCCGCTCAAAGCCCGAGCTCACCCTCACGTACCACAGCGTGCCTCTGGAACGACTTCGTTTCGGAGTTGCAACGGACGCTTCCTTCGACAACTACGACGACGGCTCCTCACAGGGAGCTGTGGGTGTCTTGGCTTACGACGTTGCCTTGACTGAAGGCGAGACGGCCAAGTGCTCTCTACTCTGGTGGAAGAGCGCAAAGCTTCGTCGAAAAGTTCCTTCGACTCTGGCGGCTGAGACGCAGGCGCTGAACAGGGGACTTGGCGAGCTACTGTGGACGAAGGCTCTCTGGGAAAACCTCCTGGACCCGAACTTCGACCTCCAAAAGTACATGGCGTCGATCAAGGACCAGTCGGACGTGGTCTTGCAGCGAGCCGACTGCGACCAAAAGCTGAGGGAGAGCCTGAGCATCGTAGACGCTAAAAGCGTCTATGATAATGTGATCAAAGACGGTGCACAAGCGGCCGATAAATACACGGCCCTAGAGGTAGCGATCGCTCGAGAGCGGTCCGACGGTCTGGGAGTTCAGATCCGATGGGTCGAGCACCAGGCAATGGTTGTGGATGCTCTGACGAAGGTCGGAGCAAATCCTCAAGCTCTTTATCGTCTTTTAGACACGGGGCACTTTCGAATTACTGCAGAAGAGCAACAGATGGTCGAGCGTGCAGAACTGCGTGCTATCGGCCGAGTGAAGCCCCGCTGACACTGAAGCCTAAAGAAAGTTTTGGGTGCTGTGAAAACCGCTGCAGTGCCTA